ATAGCAACTACTTTCAAAGTAAGTACCGCACACTTAAACAGGAAATAACACTTTCAAACTAGGAACAGATTTTTTTTTTCAAATTTTGTTACACAATGTAATCTAAGATCAGATCTTGGAATATAGGGCAGTATAGTTCCAGCCTTAGAGTTGTTCTAAACCACAACATGAACAAATAGAATGAAGGCACAAAACAAGAGCAAGATAAAGGTGCATTAATTAGTTTATTAATTACAAGAACGTCCATCCAGTTTTCTTCTTCCCAGTTGATTTCACTGATAAGAAATGGTCCAAACTGGAGTAACAATTTGCTCTGTATCATTGGTTATTGCCATCTTGCATTCTTCTTCCTCCTTTCTCACATTCTCTCCCCACTTCCCCTCCATAAATCTTTGTCCTCCCAGAAATTCAGTAGCAGCATCTATAGTCAGGAGTGTTTCTGAGGTAGTAAGACAGCCCCAACACCACTGTGGAGAAAGGACAAGGAAAGGCCTGGCCTCATCTCGCCTGCAGGGGAGGCAAGTAGAGCACATAGGATGTAATTTGGGGACAGAAGACAGGCTCGTGACCTACTTGGCCCACTCCTGCTTGAGCAGGGCTCCTCTGAGCACCCTGCCCATGCCTTCCAGGCAGAACTGTCCGGCTGTCCCACCTTTCCTTGGTCTCAGTGCAAATTCCCTTCTTAACTTGGCAGTCATAAGTTCCAGGAGGGATCAAGGCACACGGGATGAAGGGAGGCTACCAAGGGCCTACGCAGATGGTCAGAGCTTCCCGTCAATGCTAATCTTGGCCACTGAGATACTGTCCGTGGAAGTCACCCGACCCTTCTCGTAAATGATAAATAGGCTCTGGGCATCTTCAGGGGTGGATCCGTCCAATGCTGTCATGGAGGAGTAGCCACTGGCGCCGCTCCAGATCTGCAAGGGTTCTTTCCACCATGAAGAGCCGTTGGTGAAACTCCAGCGGAGTGTCATGTTGATTCCTGGGGTGAAAGAGAAGGTGGGGGTCAGGTTTAGAGTAAGATCTCCTTTTCTGGTCATTTTTAAATAGTGGCTGAGGGGGCATCTGTTGGAGTGCTTTGATTATGTATTATTCCATACATGTTGATGTATTTTATTTTATATATTATGTACTTTATGTATGGCATCTTTCTATGCTATTTCGTAAGCCGGTCTGAGTCCCTATGGGAAATGGTGGCTGGGTATAAATAAAGTTTAAAATTGTTATGATTATGGGCAAACTTTGTCCCTCCAGGTGTTTTCAATTTCAATTCCCACAGTTCTTAACAGCCAGTAGGCTGTTAGAAATTGTGGGAGTTGGAGTCCAAAATACTTGGAGGGCCAAAGTTTACCCATGCTTGGTGTAGCACATCCAGCTGAACACATCTCCACTGATACCCCTGTTCTCTGAAAACACAGAAATGGAGGATCTGGGGTGTTTATAGGGCAGGCCAGGGAACATTTGGCTCATTATATAGTTGGAACAATAGAACTTTGAAAGCTGCAACAATAAAAAAGGTGAGTTGTGATGGCGTAGTCATTATAATTGCCAACAGGATGCCAGCTGTTTTAACTTCTGAGATTTTTGATCACTGGGTCTAGAGCAGTGGATCCCAAAATGTAATTCTTTACGTGTTTTGGATTTCCGTTCCGGAAGCCACAGTTGCATGGACCTATGATGAGGGATTCTGGGAAATGGAAGTCCAAATACTCAAAAGACCAAAGTTTGGGAAACACTGATACAGAGCTTGCTAAAGAAAGAATGTTTATATTAATTGACAAAAGAGGTTGCAGCTGGTGTCAAGACTGAATTGCTTACCTACAAAGCCTGGAAAACTCACAACTACCCAGTGATTCCAGCCATGAAAGCCTTTGACAACATATTGGGCAAATGCTGATCCTTCAATCCTGATAACAACAATGTACTCAGATCTATTCTGTTTTCTTAAACAAAGCAACTAGACCAGGCATGGGCAAACTTTGGCCCTCCAGGTGTTTTGGACTTCAACTCCCACAATTCCTATTGGCTGTTAGAAATTGTGGGAGTTGAAGTCAAAAACACCTGGAGGTCTAAAGTTTGCCCATGCGTGGTCTAGACTTTTGAGAGCTTTTCTCTTCTGAACTAGAGTTTGCCTATACCTGACATCTCCGTATGTGTAGGGTGACCATGCAGGTATATGTCGCTAAAAGGATGCCATCCGATGTATAGCAGTGTCTCTCACACTTGTACAAACACATTCCTGCACTCTTTTCTTTCTGTCTCTCTCACACACATGTGCTGTGATTTCTCACTCACGTTCTCGCTCGTGGGCTGGATTGCTGAAGAAGACGAGGCCAGATTTCACCAAGGCTCCTGCTGCCACGGCTGGGTCTACCAAGGTTATATCAAAAGTCACATTTTCCAGAGGGAGGGTCTCACAAGCATCATAGCTGCGAATCACAATGCGACAACTGCAGTGGTAGAAGTTCTGGTTCCTGGCATTGATCACCACAGAGCCATCTGGCAGCTCATAAGGCTGTGAAGGAGAGAAATATTGGAATGAACTTGGGGTGAAGAGGAGTTTTCTTTGGTGTGTGGATGAGTGCTTCCCTCCCATAAGCCCCAGTAATATTTTACTTCTTCCTCTTGTACTACTTGGTATTAGAAGAGAATATCCAGGGAAGGAAAATACAATCATCAGATGGGAACAGTTTTGGATTCCGAAAACACAACATCAAATGACGCTAAGCTTCAAACCAAGCAGGCATGAATGCCTATCAGGATTTATTGCCAACCCTGCAAGGTGGGCAACCAGTTCCCCTTTGCCCAACTCAAGGCCTAGGTCATATTTCCATGCTTTCCAGGAAATTCCTAATAGTCTAAGGAACAAGGACTACATCACCACATCTTTGAAAGGAAGCACGCGCGCACACATACACAACTTTATCTAAGAAGGTAAGGTTTATCTACAAGGATAAAAGGAATACAGTTGGCCCTCCACATTGACTTTTGCAGATTTGATGAGAACATTCTCTCTAGAAATATCTAAATTATTCAATTTGACATAATTGTCAATGTCCTCTGGATGTTGACTGTAGGGTCACACTGAAGGACTAGATATTCTTTTAGAAAGCACTTATTTATGAATCTCTTGGTCATATGTGTCAAACTCAAGGCCTGCAGGCTGAATCCAGCCCTTCATGTCATTTTATGTGTCTCTCCAGATGCTGAACTAAATAATAATAATAATAATAATAATAATAATAATAATAATAGTGATTTTGTGATATGAAATCCAGCATATATATCTCATTTGCTGTGACATAATGTGTTTTTGCGTCAGTAAAATAATAATAATAATAATAATAATAATAATAATAATAATAATAATACTTTATTTATACCCTGCCACCATCTCCTGAAAGGGCTCAGGGCAGCTCACAAAGCACTCAAATGTGCAAACACACAAAATACAAGTTCCTAAACAATAACGCAAAAGCAATAACAAACAACATCATAAACCCCACTGGTTAAAAATCAATAACATGCAACAATAGCTGCAGATATAAAACAAACTGCAAACAATATCAGTCTCATAAAGTGCAAGGTGAGATAATCTCTTGGTCCTCAAATATGTTCATTAAGGATTTATAAATATTATACATCATGACTAGAGCTGAGTTGTGATACAACAGCATCTGAAAGGCTGCAGTTTTTTCTGTTTAGTCCAGATAGTGGGGTTTAAATTTAGATATGATGCTTGGCATTAAAATGTCCTTTAACCTTTTCCCAACCTCAGAGCCACAAGTGCTGTTGGGTTGCAATCCCCATTATCCCCAGTCCACATGGTGGACAATCCAAAGTGATGGGAGTTGTCATTCAACAACATCTGGGGACACAAAGTGGGTAAAGCTAAAGAGCATTGACTACTATGTATAAAAAATTATTATTGGCCCTCTGGATCCACGGATTCTCCATCCATGGATTCAACTGCACTTTGAGGCACCCATTAGGCTGATGTAGTCCTTGATGAAAATGTGTTTGATATCCCTGCTGTAGGTCCTACATTGTGATTCTACGTTCAACTTTCAGATTTTTTATTGTAGTTTTCCCACTTTTGTGAGGCTTCTGCGCTCTTAATCCCAGTGCATATGGAGGGCTGACTGTATTAAGAAGATATATAGACATTTTTGGGAAATGTACAAGCACACACAAAAAATAAAAATTAAAGAAAGGGGGGGGGGGGAAGCTCAGCTAATCCTACTGGATACATACCGAAATACAGGCCTCAACAGAGTAGGATCCCAGGACCAAAAGAACAAACACTGTAAGACACTAGCAAGCTATAAGGCATGGAAGAAATGCCAACTCCAATCCACTACTTTTATATACCCAAGCCCATAGCAATCCTAGGTATTGCCCAATGACCAATTGTTACCTGACTAACCATTAGATTCTCGTGTTTTCCTGAAGCCACATATTTTCAGAGGAGAATAAACAAATAATTAAGGCCCAATTAGTATGGTTTCTGCTTTTGCCTTGAGCCAATTAGATAAGACACGGGTGGCCTGATGGGACTGTGCATCCCCAAGCTCAGCACACAGACTCTGTGAGGAAGTCAGAAGAAAAATATGGATTTCTTCCCAGGCAGGAATATAGTTGGCCCTCCACATTTGCAAGTTTAATTTCTAGGGATTTGATTATTTACAGATTTGATGTCTCTCTAGACATATTTAGGTTCTTCAGTGTGATCTGGTTGTCAACCTCCACCAGAAGTTGATCATAGAGTTGCATTACAACTCTGTAATTCATGTTTATATGTTGGGTTATTTAAATTTGGTTAGTATGGATGTATTGTTGTTGTATTCGGGCATTGAATGTTTGCCTTTTATGTTTGGAATCCACCCTGAGTCCCTTCAGGGAGCTAGAGCAGAATATAAATAATAATAATAATTATTATTATTATTATTACAAGACCTAGAGATTCCTAGAGAGATGTTCTCCGAGAACAGCGGTTCTCAATTTGTGGGTCCCCAGATGTTTTGACCTACAACTCTCAGAAATCCCAGTCAGTTTACCAGCTGTCCTAGAGAAAAAATAAGGTTTTTTTTACTGCTGCTGTTCCACTTTTGCAAGAATCTACATGCAGAGAGTCCCTGTGAATCTGAATGGCTGACTGTATTTAGCCAGAGTGTATTTATTCATTTCTTCACCTACCTTCTTGAGAATGAGGTACTCAAGGTAGCTATCAATAATAGCATAAGGAATTATAAGATCCCCAAAATGTTTTTTAAAAGCCCTGCTAGTTAAATCTCCTTCTACAACAGAACAGCATACATGTCTGAATAAAAAGGTCTGTGCTTGTCAGGAGATGGACAATAGGGAGGGAATAAACTCAGCTTTCCTTAGCAGGGAGTTCTAAAATCTCTCCAACATGAAGCTTGGTCCTTCTTCTTTAAGATACACTAGATTACCGTTTCTGAAACTGTGGCTCCCAACTCCAAATGGGGGTCCCCTCTTAGTTCAATGTTAGGTAAGGTAAAGTTTCCGCCTGACATTAAGTCTAGTCGTGTCGGGCTCTGGGGTGGTGGTGCTCATCTCCATTTTTAAGCCGAAGAGCCAGCATTGTCTGTAGATGCCTCCAAGGTCATGTGGCCAGCATGACTGCATGGAGTGTATAAATTGTGCATTGTATAAATATGTGTATTGTATAAATATGTGAGAGGAAGCCACAGGGAGGAGGGAGCAAGCTTGTTTTCTGCTTCCCTAGAGACTAGGACGCGAAACAATGGCTTCAAACTACAAGAAAGGAAATTCCATTTGAACATGAGGAAGAACTTCCTGACTGTGAGAGCCATTCAGCAGTGGAACTCTCTGCCCCAGTGTGTGGTGGAGGCTCCTTCTTTGGAAGCTTTTAAACAGAGGCTGGATGGTCATCTGTCAGGGGTGATTTGAATGCAATATTCCTGCTTCTTGGCAGGGGGTTGGACTGCATGGCCCATGAGGTCTCTTCCAACTCTTTGATTCTATGATTCTATGAGTGCCATTACCTTCCCACTGCAGCTGTACCTATTGATCTACTCACATTTGCATGTTTTCGAACTGCTAGACTGGCAGAAGCTGGGGGTAATAGCTGGAGCGCACCCCATTCAAGGATTCGAACTGCCAACCTTTCAGTCAGCAAGTTCAGCAGCTCAGCGGTTTAATGTCAAGATAATGAAAAATTTGGCAACAGTAAAAGGTTTTTGAAGGTTACTGATTTCCACAAATCTGTTAGCAACAATGTGCAGTGTTGATGGTGGACCCCACAGAAATGCTTCCGCTGTACTCCATAAAAAAGGAAAACCAGCCTATTTAGCAAGCTTTCAAAATGCTGGTTTATTAGCAGTAAATATTTGATTTTTATTCCTATTTTATATACGTGTACACCTGAGATCATGTAAAAAATTCTCAGGTGGAAAGGGGTCGCAAGTGGGAAAAGTTCAAGAAGCCCTGCTCTAGAGCCCTTTCTTCAATATTCAGATTTGAGTTTTTTAACATATTTCACACACTTTACTGAAAGAGACAAAAAATAAAATAAACCTCCAATTAGTACACTGCCAACCAACTCAGTTCAGCCTGAGCTCTATTTTTGGACCAATGAGGAAGACATAGAGAGCTGCCTAACATGAAATCGACATCTTTCCATCTAGCTCAAGGTTCAATAATCTATGGCAACACCTGTAAGATATTGGGAAGGTTATTCCTATGTGTGTTATCTGATCTCGGATAAAATGTCAAGGATGGAACGTGGGCTCAAGTTGCTATGTCAGATTTGGGATTGAGTTGCTGTGATCAAGGCTGGAGAACAAGCCCTATGAGGAGCAGCTTAGGGAACTGGGCATGTTTAGCCTGAAGAAGAGAAGGCTGAGAGGAGATATGATAGCCATGTATAAATATGTGAGAGGAAGCCACAGGGAGGAGGGAGCAAGCTTGTTTTCTGCTTCCTTGGAGACTAGGACGTGGAACAATGGCTTCAAACGACAAGAGAGGAGATTCCATCTGAACATGAGGAAGAACTTCCTGACTGTGAGAGCCGTTCAGCAGTGGAACTCTCTGCCCCGGAGTGTGGTGGAGGCTCCTTCTTTGGAAGCTTTTAAGCAGAGGCTGGATGGCCATCTGTCAGGGGTGATTTGAATGCAATATTCCTGCTTCTTGGCAGGGGGTTGGACTGGATGGCCCATGAGGTCTCTTCCAACTCTAAGATTCTATGATTCTATGATTCTAAGTGAGAGAGGACAGGCACTGACAAGTTTCTGGACTCAATTCAAGGTGCAAGTTATTACCTATAAAGCCCTATACGCTTTGGGCCCAACCTATCTTGGAGACCGCATCTCTTTCTACGAACCGCCGTGGGCTTTGAGATTGACAGGAGAGGGCCTTCTCTCGGTCCCACCATCGTCTCAAGCACTGTTGGTGGAGAGGAGAGAAAGGGCTTTCTCTGTGGCACCCCCCCCCCCCGGGCTCTGGAATACCCTCCCAAAAGAGATTAGATTAGCCCCCACCCTTCAATCCTTCCATTCCAATCTGAAAACATGAATGTTCAGACAGGCCTTTGACCTTGAGTAGGCTGAATGGGCCCATAGGAAGCTGACACTCAGGTAATGTGTGAAAGGGCCCTTTATTTGAGGACAACAGAGTGGAATCTATATATATAAATGCTCTGTGCGTAATTAGTACCTTAAAAACAAAAGAACCAATGAACGAAATCACACCAAATTTGGCAACAAAACGTCTCACAACACAAGGAGTGACAATCACTCAAAAATTATGATTTTGTCATTTGGGAGTTGTAGTTGCTGGGATTTATAGTTCACCTACAATCAAAGAGCATTCTGAACTCCATCAACGATGGAATTGAACCAAACTTGGCACACAGAACTCCCATGACCAACAGAAAATACTGGAAGGGTTTGGTGGGCATTGACCTTGAGTTTGGAAGTTGTAGTTCACCTACATCCAGAGAGCACTGTGGACTCAAACAATGATGGATCTGGACCAAACTTGGCACAAGCACTCAATATGCCCAAATATGAACACAGATGGAGTTGGGGGAAATAGACCTTGACATTTGGGAGTTGTAGTTACTGGGATTTATAGTTCACCTACAATCAAAGAGCATTCTGAACCACCAATGATGGAATTGAACCAAACTTGGCACACAGTTCTCCCATGACCAACAGAAAATACTGGAAGGGTTTGGCGGGCAGTGTCCTTTGATTTTGGAGTTGTAGTTCACCTATATCCAGAGATCACTGTGGACTCAAACAATGATGGATCTGGACCAAACTCTACACAAATACTCAATACGCCCAAATGTGAACACTGGTGGAGTTTGGGGAAAATAGAATCTTGACATTTGGGAGTTGTAGTTGCTGGGATTTATAGTTCACCTACAATCACAGAGCATTCTGAACCCCACCAATGATAGAATTGGGCCAAACCTCCCACACAGAATCCCCATGTGGGCCACAGCAACACGTGGCAGGGGATGGCTAGTATATAGCTATATCCACTCTGTGTCCCTTTACAATTGCTGCTTATGGCTGTTTCCTCTCTTTGTGGCCCAATCCCCATATGAGGGATGATGAAGCACATTCAAGATGATGACACCTACCTGGCATTCGTCAGGATTAAAGTCGCTGAGAAGCTTTGTCTCGCCGTAAGGGATCCCATGCAGGGGCTGCCGCCCGTATCGCCAAGTCAAGCCGTGGTCATCGCTGAGGAGGCAAGAGATCCCGTCCCGCATCAATGTCCCGTGGCCACAGACTATCAAACGGCCCTTCTTGGGTGCATAGTGTTTCTGAAAGACAGAGCGGATCCCAAAGAAATTGAGACCTGCTTCCCGCTATGGCTTCCATAGACATTCAGTTGGTATTCAGTTGTTTCACCAACTGAAACAAGAGGAATTTCGTAAATTCTACTGGTTCAATTTGTCTACTCTAGTTTGTATTTCATGGCACTTCATCTTAATTGCTGTTGGAAGTGAAAAGGCATCAACTTTTATATACAGAGCAATGAGGGACAGAGGAAAGCCTGTAGTAACTCTTGGTATTTTGGCTCCCTGCCTGCATTTAGATGTCACTTCTATCTTCTTCCCAAATGTCTTCAGTACTTTATTGCCTTCTGTTTGAGGAGGGAGTACCATAAGGTTTCTCTGCCTTATGTTGGCCTATTCACACACATGAGAGTCAGCATTAGGGATGGAGCTCTCGGTGGTGCAATGGGTTAAACCCTTGTGCTGGCAGGACTGAAGACCAACAGGTCGGAGGTCCGAATCTGGGGAGAGTGCAGATGAGCTCTCTCTGTCAGCTCCAGCTCCCCATGTGGGGACACGAGAGAAGCCTCCCACAAGGATGGTAAAATATCAAACATCTGGGCGTCCCCTGGGCAACGTCCTTGCAGAAGTCCAGTTCTCTCACACCAGAAGAAACTTGCAGTTTCTTAAGTTGCTCCTGACACACACACACAGCATTAGAAGCCTCCCATAAGGACAGTAAAATATCAAACATCCCTAGGCAATGTCCTTGCAGACGTCCAATTCTCTCACACCAGAAGAAACTCACAGTTTCTTAAGTTGCTCCTGACACTCACACACACAACAAGCATTAGAAGCCTCCCATAAGAATGGTAAAACATCAAACATCCAGGCGTCCCTGGGCAATGTCCTTGCAGACTGCCACTCACCTGGATGCCGTAGCCCGGACCAGGAGCAAACATGGTTGTGCCAATGTCTTCGGAGAGGTTCCGGGGGACACTCCACGTGACGCCATCATCACGGCTGCGGATGATCATGGTGCTGGCGGTGGCGCATTGGTGGTAGTGGGCACACAGAGTATACACCAGGAACACAATGTCTTTTTCCCAATCCACCACCACGGCTCCAAGGTTAAGACCATCTGCTAAGGAGCCGTCATCAACTATGAATGAAGTTGGGCTCCAGGTAGCACCTTGGGAATGACACACAAGGACACATCGTGACGCTTTACTATCGACATTCTGTTGTATACAGAGATAGTCAAAATAGTGTTCTGCCAACTGCATTTTAACCTTAAATCCACACAGTACTGAAGATTTTTCTTATTGTGTCAGAAGCAAATCGAGAATATACTGCAAGTTGCTTCTGGTGCGAGAGAATTGGCTGTCTGCAAGGACGTTGCCCCAGGGACACCTGGATGTGTTACCATCCTGTGGGAGGCTTCTCTCGTGTCCCTGAAGATGATAGCCACAGGTGCAGGTGAAACGTCAGGAGAAAATGCTGCTAGTACACAGCCATACAGCTTGGAAACCACACAACACCCCACGCAGTACTATTTGGTTTTTTTTTTGGTTTTTTTTTTTTAATTTATTTGCTTTATTTTAAGCTGTGACTAGATTGTGTGGTTTTTGAGTCCCCAAAGAGAGAAAGGCAGGGTATAAATAAAGAACAAATAAATCAATATAAATCAATATAAATAATCTTTTGGTGCACCAAAACAACTTGGTTGGCTTTAGATATGATGTGCCTTAACTTGTGAGGAATGAAGAACCTCATTTGTCCAACCATTCTGGACTTCTTATGCTAATCTGCTTTTTTTAGATATAGGAACTACGCAGAATAAGCACTCAGGTATAACATGCTTGTCACTGGTTGGAATTAATAAACAGAAATAATCTAGTTTAGCAGGTTATCCAGGCTATCTGAAATGCTCTTTCTGCCCATGTGAAACTGTGTGAACTCTTAAGATCTTTGGGTTGCTGCCAACACATTGACAAATGCTAAATAAATAAATAGTAAAATAAGCCGAAGAGCCGGTGTTGTCCATAGACAGCGCCAAGGTCATGTGGCTGGCATTGGCAGGAGCTGGGGTTAGCAACAGAAGCTCACCCTATCATGCGGATTTAAACCACTAACCTTCCGTTCAGCAAGTTCTGCAGCTTAGCAGTTTAACCTGCTGTGCCACCGCGGCCCCATTGGGGAAAAGGGAGACAAAATTTAATAAATTGTGGAGAAAAGGGAAATTCAGCAAGTGTTGTTGTTACCCAGTTGCACAACCAGCAACATCTTCCCCTTTCTACACAACTATTAAAGGGAAAGGAGCCCTCTCTAGGTTTCAGCCTGGTGATCCCAGCAAGAAGCTGAGATCCCATGGCTGGCTGGGATATTTTGAGAGCTATAGTTTAAACTATGTGTCAAACTCAAGGCCCACGGGCTGAGTCTAGCCCACTATGTCATTTTATGCCGTGTTAACAACTCCTGTACTCCTCACCATTAGACATCATGACTAGAGCTGATGGGAGTTGTGATACAGTAGCACCTGGAAGGCTGCAATTTGTACAATTTAGTTGGGATAATGAGGTTTGAATTTAGATACAAGCCTTGTGGATATGATGTGTGACTTGAACATGTCCTTTAACCTATCCCCAAAGAGCCCCCAATGGCGCAGTGGGTTAAACCCCTGTGCCGGCAGGACTGAAGACCGACAGGTTGCAGGTTCGAATCTGGGGAGAGCACGGATGAGCTCCCTCTATCAGCTCCAGCTCCTCATGCAGGGACATGAGAGAAGCCTCCCACAAGGATGGTAAAAACATCAAAACATCCAGACGTCCCCTGGGCAACGTCCTTGTAGACAGCAATTCTCTTACATCAGAAGCGACTTGCGGTTTCTCAAGTCGCTTCAGACACGACAAAAAAAAAAAACTCCCCAACCTCAGGTTGCAATTCCCATGATCCCCAGTCCACTTGGTGGATAATCAAAAGTGATGGGAATTGTCATTCCGTAACATATGGGGACCAAACTGGGTAAAAACTAAAGAGCACTGAGTATATATATATATATATATATATATATATATAGATATAGAGAGAGAGAGAGAGAGAGAGAGAGAGAGAGAGAGAGAGAGAGAGAGTGTTGGCCATCTGTATCCACAGATTCTCTGCCCGTGGATTCAAGAAAGAAAATTTAGGACATATGTGACATTGGATTTACCCAACTTGGTCTTGGTTTTAATTGATACGTTTAATTTATTGTCTAATGATCTGTATAATGTGTTTTAATATTTTTTAACTGTAATCTTTGTTTGTTTATATGCTGACAGCATCACATGATGCTTATGTGAGGCCGCCCTGAGTCCCCCTTTGCGGGGAGAAGGGTGGGGTAGAAATGCATGAAATAAATAAATAATAAATAAATGGCCTTTTCAAGGAAACCATAAAGCTAATGTGGCCCCCAATGAAAATGCACACAAAGAGGTCCCTGTCCCTTTCACTGCTTTCAGCCCTCTTAGGCCTGTTCAAACCTTTGTCCTGCGACCTGCGTAAGGCTATAAATTTAGCCCCGATGTCCGAGGAGGAATGCTTCCTGGCTTCGGAGAAGGCCAAAAGGGTGCCCCGAGGCGTTGCTGCAATGAGAGGGACCCTGAAAGTGTTCACCTCCCCGATCACGTTGCCGCTCACCCACAGCAACTGCTCCATGGCAATGATAGGCTTCACCTGCAGAGACGAGACCCAAGGAAGAAGAAAAAGAAAGGGTTAGTAGGCCATCCTTGTGGAAACCACATTAGGCAATGATAAAAATCAGCATCCCTGCAGAAAACCCTTCAGCCTAATCCTGCTCCTTGCTGTTGAGTGCTGTCACTCCATCTTCCATACCAAGGAGCTTTTGTTGACATCCTCCCAATGTCCTTATGGGTGCCTTTATTACCTCCCCACTTAAAGCAGTACCTATTTATCTACTCACATTTGTTTTCGATCTGCTAAGTGAGCAGAAGCTGGGGCTGACAGTCGGGCGCTCACCCTGACCTGGGCTTGAACTGCCAAATTTTCAATCAACTGGATTTATTGCAGCTTAGAGGTTTAACCCACTGTGCTAAGCCCGGTCCCTACCACAAGAGTTTTACCAAATTTTAAAATCCAAAATTAATAGAATGAACAGGTGCAATGAAAGAAATAGACCAGGTTGTTGGAGCTCAGCCTGTGATTGTGTTTCAGGATCAGGGTGCTTTGAATGTGGGGAGTGATGTTAATGAGGTTCAAGATGAGTTCCAAGATGGCAATGGTTTGGTCAGTGATATTGGTGCAGAGATGACCAGGAGATCCCTGTAGTTTCCCATGAAAATGTCCCTGAGGGATGTGAGGATGATGGTGTGCTTTCTGAATGTTTACCAGAGAGTTCCCATGAGAGAGAACATGAAACCAGCTCGGCACCTGGCCCAGCTGCAGAAATTAATGAGCAAATAGATAATGAGCATATAGACGAGAGGAGATCAGTCAAAACAGGAGAGCCGAACAGTGGCTTCAGCGTTCTGCAAGGCTCCGACAGAAAAAGATAACAAATTATCAGCTGAAGCTAAACTAGTTTCTGAGCACTAGTGACATAGCTAACGAGGAGATAAAAGTCCCAAATTTAGGATATGTAGTCAGATGAAGCATCATTTAGAATCAAGTTAAGTTCTCGTCCTTGTTTCATGGAAGCCTTGCTTGGAAGATTAATGCTTAAATGCTTCTTGTTTCATGGTTTTGGATTGTTGGATTTTATGATTGCAACTGCTCCGGCGGGAAGGTAACGGCGCTCCATGCAGTCATGCTGGCCACATGACCTTGGAGGTGTCTACTGACAACACTGGCTCTTCGACTTAGAAATGGAGATGAGCACCACACCCCAGAGTCAGACATGATTGGACTTAATTTCAGGGGACTACCTTTACCTTTTTTTACCTAAGCCTTGGATTAATGTTTCCTGATTTTCTGGATTTTATTAGAGAAGTGTGGACTTTGTTTTCATGGACTTTGCTGAACTCTACCCTGGACTAATTTGTTCCTGCTTATCTTCTTACCTAATTGGATTTACCTATCCCTTTAAAGTGCTTTTTACTTTGCTACTTTTTAATTATTTTCAATAAAAGGATTGTTTTCCTATTCAACGTGTGGTGTTTAAAGTCAGAGGGCTTTTCCTGTCCTGGAGTGCAACAGAGGTAAACTTTGCGTAAACTTTGCATAAGTAAACTAAAATAGTTCGAAGTTCTAGAAACTACTTTCTTTATGCTGGGGGCTGCTGGTGAGGCTTATCTGTAATTTCTTTTTATCTGTTTACCTATTCTGCTTGTTTCCTATTTAAAAGCTTTGGAGGCAGCTGCTTATCTTGCCTGTTGTAGGCACACACACACAATTATAGTAGTTTATTAACAACACAGTATTTATTGCACTGTTTACTGTATCCAAGCTGATGCAACCCAGCCTTGAAGTCTTTATTTCATGGATATCTCATTCTTTACTAAGGGTTTAGTGGAAATGTGAAAGAGAGGGAAGTGGCTATTTCACAAGTTGTTGTTGCGTTATGACACATTGACATTTCCTTTACCATTCCCTCTTTGATATAGTTGGCTTAATTTTTTTTCTCCATTCACATGTTGCTTGCCTTATGATCTCATGCATGAATTCAACTTGTTCAGCTCAGTTTATTCAAGCTGCAACAACTGAGTTGCTCAGCAGTACTTTAGCGTCTCTCTTGAATGGTGCCTTTTATACCACGCCAAGAAAGATTCTGGAACACAAACAACTGATTTCACAGAACTAAAATCTTTTTGACTATTTTACTAATTGATATGCTTGTTGTGTTATGTTTTACAGATTTTAATGGGGAAGTTAAACATATACTCAACTCACAATTGGAGCTTTGGATAGCTACTCTTCTCTTAAAGCTCTGCTGTGCCACAATAATAATAATAATAATCTGGAATGTAAAATGTACATTACTTTGAATGGGAGGCATGCTCTATTTCCATTGTTATATCTTTCCCTATAATATGTGAAAAACGTTTAAAAAAAGATTTCTAGAAAGCAAATAGGGGCATTTAAAATGACCCTGTAACTATATACAGACAGCGTGGTAGGATGGTTTGAGTGTTGGACTAGGTCAGTGATCCTCTCTTAACCATACATTAGGCAACCTTGGGCAAGTCACACTCTCAACCTCAAAAGAATTCCAACATCGGGTTGTTGTAGGTTTTTCTACATCTCTCTGAACAAACATCATGGCAGGATTGCCATAAATGGAAATGGAAATGTTTTGAAGACATACAACAATGATGCAAGAATCCAAAATATTGCAATATTTTCTTATCTCGACTGAACCACAGACATCTATTGGGTGACCTTGGGCAAATCACACTCTCTCAGCCTCAGAGGCAGACAAATGTGTCCACTTGAGGTTGGGTGACCGGGACAGAATAGGGATTCTGTTAGTGTACCGCCCACCTCGCTGCACTACAGTCTCCTTACCTGAGCTAGCGGGGGTGGTCTCAGGCCTGGCATTGGAATCCCAGCGGCTCCTTGTGCTGGGGGACTTCAATGTCCATGCCGAGGCGGCCCTTTCAGGAGCGGCTCAGGACTTCATGTCTGCCATGGCAACCATGGGGCTGTCCCAGCAAGTATCTGGCCCCACTCATAGTGCAGGACATACATTGGACTTGGTTTTCTGCCAGGGATGGGAGGAAGGTGGTGGGGTCGAGGAGCTGACCATCTCTCCGTTGCCATGGACCGACCACTTCCTGGTCAGATTTAGGCTCACTGCGCCCCCTAACCTCTGCAGAGGTGGAGGACCCATTAAGTTGGTCCGCCCCAGGAGGCTTATGGATCCGGATGGATTCCTGATGGCTCTTGGGGAGTTTCCCGCCGCCTCGGTAGGTGATCCTGTCGAGGCCCTGGTCACTCTCTGGAATGGGGAGATGACTAGGGCAATTGACACGATCGCTCCGGAACGTCCCCTCTCAAGTAGCCGAGCTAAACCAGCTCCCTGGTTCACCGAGGAGCTGGCAGCGATGAAGCGAAGGAAGAGGGAACTAGAGAGTGTGTGGCATTCAGATCCAAGTGAGCCAAATCGAACACGGTTTGTGTCCTTTTTAAGGGCATATGCCGCGGCAATAAAAGCCGCAAAGAAGGCCTTCTTTGCGGCCACTATTGCGTCTGCAAAGAACCGTCCGGCTGAGCTGTTCCGAATTGTCAGAGGCCTTTTAAATCCCACCACTCAAGGTGGGAACCCTGACGATTCGACTTCTCGCTGTGAAGCTTTTGTTCAGTTCTTTGCAGACAAAGTCGCTTTGATCCGTTCTGGTCTGGATACATGTTAATGGCAGTCTCTGAGGATGTAACACGAGCACCTGCTTGTCCAGTTTTGATGGATTCATTTCAATTGGTGAAACCCGAGGATGTGGACAAGATACTTGGAGGAATGAGGCCAACCATATGCATCCTGGACCCCTGCCCATCCTGGCTTCTAAAGGAGGCCAGAGGGGGATTGGCTGAGTGGGTTAAGGTGGTGGTTAATGCTTCCCTTCGGGAAGGCAAGATTCCAGCGAGCTTAAAACAAGCTATAATATTTATAATTATTTATTTATTTACTTCATTTGTATACCGCATTTATCAGCCTAAGGCGGCGACTCAATGCGGTTTACAATAAAAAAACACTGAACAATATATAGGACGCACATACACAAACAACACATATAGTCATCAACGCCACACTTTGATCAGATCCCGTTCTCATAGTCCTTTTTCATTCCTTGTTCAAAATGCCGTCATTATTGAGTTGGTTGTCATCGCATAGTTATCCGAATGCCTGCTCACAGAGCCACGTCTTAACCCTCCTCCGAAACACCAGTAACGAAGGGGCCTGCCTGATGTCCACTGGTAGCGCATTCCATAGCCGAGGGGCCACCACCGAGAAGGCCCTGTCTCTCGTCCCCGCCAACCGCACTTGTGACGCTGGCGGGACCGAGAGCAGGGCCTCCCCGGACGATCTTAACATCCTCGCCGGTTCATAGGGGGAGATGCGTTCGGAGAGGTAAGTGGGGCCGGAACCGTTTAGGGCTTTATAGGCTAAAGCCAGCACCTTGAATTGTGCCCGGTAGCAAATTGGCAGCCAGTGGAGCTGGCCCAGCACACTTGGGAAGTGCCCGACATGTCATCCAATAACCTAGCTGCCGAGCGCTGGACCATCTGAAGCTTCCGGACAGTCTTCAAGGGCAACCCCACGTAGAGCGCGTTGCAGTAATCTATGCGGGATGTGACAAGAGCGTGGACTACCGTGGCCAAGTCCGACTTCCCAAGATACGGGCGCAGCTGGAGCACAAGCCGAAGCTGTGCAAATGCTCCCCTGGTCACCGAAACCTGGGGTTCCAGGCTCAGCAAGGAATCCAGGAACCCAAGCGGCGAACCTGTGTCTTCAGGGGGAGTGCGACCCCCAACACAGGCTGTAACCCTATACCCTGTTCGGCCTTCCGACTGACCAGGAGTACCTCTGTCTTGTCTGGATTGAGTTTCAATTTGTTCACCCTCATCCAGTCCGACACAGCGGCCAAGCACCGGTTCAGGACCTGGACAGCCTCCTTAGTAGTAGGTGGAAAGGAGTGACAGAGTTGGACGTCATCTGCGTACAGATAACACCGCACCCCGAAACTCCGGATGATCTCTCCCAACGGCTTCATGTAGATGTT